CGTCGCCTTCTGCGCATGCGCAATTTCACGATAGAAACGCGCGCGCGCGCGCGTGCGCAGGACGCGAGCGTCACTTTCGGCAAACGCTGCAACCTGCAAACTCGATCCAGACTAAGAGACTCTGATTTCCACTGATTTTCAACGCAAAAGCTTCCCTTGCTGAAGTATCATCTCCAATGGGTGGAAAACAGTCTACAGTGGTTAGAAACTCCTTCGATCGCATCCGGGGCAGGAAGAATCGAGTGGTGCCGATCGGCCGCCATCGCAAAGCTACGAAACCGTGGGCTCGCAATGTAACGAGTTCTCATTCGGCCGCTGCTTCCAAACCTCGTCGTGACTGGGACGATCTGGTCCTGGAAGATTTGGAGGACCTGCCAACCGACGCTCTCTTCAATCTCGACGCCGAGCCGGTCCAACCTCCTGCAGCGAGCGGTCCTCTCTGCATCACCGCCACCGCTCCAAAGAGACGTCGGGACTGGGACGATCTCGTCGTGGAAGACCTGGAAAACGTCCCGAGTGACGATCTGTTCCGTCTACATGAACTCCGGCACCACTCCGCGACACTGCCTCCTCGTCGTATTGGAGCAGGGGCCGCCGACTACAAGGCTTGCAGTCGACTCACGGTGGGTCAGTGGAACGTGACGAGTATCCCTGGCATCGTCGAGCCCGAATTCTTCTCATGCACTGCACGAAGCGGAGAGGAATGCGACCATTCAATCATACCAATGTGTGTCAATGATGGGATTTCCTCTAATTCACAGGGCAGCTTTTCAGAAAAGCTCACAATTCCTTGTGTAAGGAGGACGACTGAACTAGACCCAGTCACAGTCTCCAGATGTGGAGATAGGCAAGCAGAGTTTGACTCTGACTCCTTGACTGAGGTCACCTCATTGGACTCCATGTCTATCGACTCTGAGCTTCTGAGCATTCTTGGAGGATGGGGTGGAGGAGGAGGATGGGAAGGAGGAGAGCACACTCACAGAGCACTCTCCCCTCAGCTCAGCGAGAGCGACGAAGAAATTGGCCTCGATCTCTGCGAACTTGTGCTGATGTTTGCCGCAAAGGAAGAGGAGGAGGAAACAAACAACCTGCCAGACTATGTCCTCTTCATGTCCTTACCTTCTGCAACAGATCTACAGTAGAACTTTATTATATATACGCAACTTACAACACTACCCTTGCATCTTTAACTATACCTTGTGTCGATTAATTATTGTAAATAAATTTATATAACCATCATACATGCTGTAATTATTTATTATTTTTCGTGTAAATTTTTTCATTTGACATCACAATCGAACACACGGAAGTTATAGCCACAATTACTAGTCCCATGAGCTTTTGTGCATGGGGGAAAGAAGAGGTCACATTGACACTGTAACAATCGAAGACAGTGCTGTATAATAATATTATGTTCTCAGATGCAGAACCAAGCTTCCGAAAAAGGTCTTCACTTACATACATGATCTTCATTACAGGAACGTCTTTGAGTCCATTGCGGCACAGCAGAGCTTTTTGCAACAGCCAACGACGAAAATAATGCAAAAGGCCACCAGTGAAGCGCATGCACACGATTTCTGCGCATGCACAATAATAATAAGGAGCGCAATAGAATGTATAAGCGGGCTTAGTACAAACGCACACGAAAACCAGCAACTATCGTCAGGTCATGTTTTTCAGTCATTCTGCGACTGTGCCATCGACTTCAGAGACAGATTTGTTCTTCTGATGCCAGTTCTTCAGGAACTGAATGGCCGTAATCCACCTACAGATGACAAAATTACTTATCAAGTGAGACACTTTATTAGCCTATAGCAGGATTGTGAGGCATGTCCTTATAAAATAAATCTCTCACTACCATAGAAAAAGGTAATAGTAATAATAATTATAGAGAAGCTGGCAAAAGGTAAACGTGCATTAAAAAATCCACGTACTAGGCAGTTACACCTGGACTACAGTAGAGGTAATGTACAAAATAGTGGACGTACTATTTCCTGGTGTAATAGCTAGAGAAGATGGAACGATATCCATGAAACCAAAGGGAATGTGTCATTATACAACGGCTAAATTTAGAAATGTTACTAAAGATGGAACAAAACAAAATTGAGTCCTAAATTTAGCCCTTATATACTTCCACATCCTTTGTGCTAGGGCACTGGGCAGACAACAATAGAGACAAAGCTGTAAAGGACATACTGTTTCCTGGTGTCGTCAGTGTCAGTCTGCAGCTGGAAGGTGCGGTCTGGACACACGAGGTTGAAACAGAACTTCTCCGATTCCGACTCTTGTTGGGCATCACTCTCCACTTCCGAAACACTTTCCACCTTCTCCAGATCTATGCACCTGCATGTGGTACAGGTTCACCCTTATTTACCCCTATCCCTCCCTCTATCCCTCCCCCTCCCTGTCTGTCTCACCCTTTAGGCGTTGGCTCATCTGCAGACTTGTAGTAGTAAATCTTGTTCCCCTGGTCGCAGCGGAAGTACCTGTGTCTCCACACGTTGGCCGTGGGACCCTTTATCCCTCTCTTGTACAGCCATCCACGGAGCTAAGATACAGAATTGTACGGCATTCGTATTACACATGATGCATGGAGTGTATGGACAAGCTAGGCATTATAATTATACAGGATTGTACAGCATTCGTGATAATTATACGGAGCGTGTGTGGAGCCACGCACAAACGTATGTATTATACAGAAATGTTGGGTTTTTTGCCAAACCAAAAAACAGGGGGTGAATTTCTTTTTTTGCCTCCTATTATATACCTCCTGCCCTCCACCCCCTTTATATACTTGTGAAAGCGTGTGAAAGCATAGAAAGATACATGTGTGGTCATTCACCCCCTTCTTCAATTGCCACCTGGCTGTATAAAACCAGGACGTTTCTCGATGTAAATGTACAGTGCGTATGTATAAATGTAGCTACTATATGAGCTTTACAAGCCCCTTTCAGGCCATTTGTGGCTCCATTTAGCCAATACAATGGGAGTGATTCTTACATGACATCACATGGCATTCATGGCACTCACACTAATGTTGGCACTTAGCTCCTTCCTTTCATCCTCTGCGGCTCGACTTGTCAGCTCGATATTGGAGAGCTGCAGCGACAAACAAAACACGTAACTGTGGTAAAATAACAACTCATGACATGTTGATGTTTGGATAGTGAATGTTGAGTTGGCATTTGAAAGGTATCACTGTATGTTTTCAACGGTTTTGTGGGTTTGTAAAGGTGCTACAATGCATCCTTACCTTCTCCTCAAACTCTCCCATCTTCTTCTTTAGATTAGCCACCTCTTGTCCCAGCCCATCATTGGCCTGTTGTAGCTTCCTGAGTAAGGGGGAGAGTAGAAAATGTTGAAATCTTGGAAGATAGGATGCTGCATGCAGTAGGGCATCAGAGATCTTTGAGGGATTTCCATGAATAGAGGCTATGGTAGAGGAGGAACCAGGTGGATTTTGGGGACTCTGTGGGAAGAACAGCTTTAACTTAGAGGTGGAACTACCTGCTCATAGGAGGAACTATGTGGCTGAAGGGATGAGGTAAAGATGGGAACTATTTATAGAAACTTTGGGGCAGAGGAGGAACTATGTGGCTGAAGGGATGAGTAAAGATGAGTAAAGATGGGAACTATTTATAGGAACTTTGGGTCAGAGGATGGCTGAAGGGATGAGTAATTTATAGAACTTTGGGTCAGGGATGAACTATGTGGCTGAAGGGATGAGTAAAGATGGGAACTAAGGAACTATTTATAGGAACTATGGTATTTATAGAAACAATAGTAGCACGATGTGGTAGGAATACAGTAGGGAGCTATAAAAACTTTGAAGTTCTTTGGTTTGATGGTATAGCGAAGATTAGATTAGAGGAATTTTAGAAACTGCTGGTATGATAGGGGACCATGGTCAGATATTACAATGACACAGAGTTAATAAAATCAGCTGATGGGAACTAGGGTATTGTAGGTGATTTTTGGAACAATGACTTGGCAAGATTTTAGCTAGGTAATGGCTATATAAAAACAAGTAAACCTCTGTTCAATTTTTCTACATATGGTTGGATTTTCTAGAAGTACCAAATGCTTCATACACTTATCGACTCACTTGTTGATCTCATCCAGGTAGCTGACGTCCGCCTTGGTGGAAGGGTATCCCATTGGGAGTGGGAGTGGCTGGTTGGCCGCGGGAACACCTCCGCCGTGCGTGGTTACCCCGGGAACAGGTTGGTATGACGAAGAGGGGGGGGTTTCCCTGTGTTGCTGGCTGGGGTAGGGCTGCGAGCCCGAGCTACCCTCGGAGCTAAACGAGGCCGCTGTCTTCTGCCTTTGCTCCTCTGTGACAAACGGAAAAATCGCACCAAAACCCCCAAGTTGACAGAGAAAAAGTTGTGCAACCCCAAGTTGACCCCATGCCAATTTGTTAGAGAATGCAATAAATCAGCAGCATTTGGCAGTCCCTAGGGTCATGAATAAAGACCTAACCTCAGGACTGCACGTGTTGTGCTATCACAACACCACAAATTTCCCAAAAGATGCTGGTGCGGTAGTAAGACACAAACCAGCCCTTCTAAGAAAGCTACAGACGATCCTACCAACCTCCAGATAATAACCTGTGCATGAGAATGTTTTTGATGCTGCTGCCCCCCCAAAATGTATTAGTATAATACCCAGATTGTAAAAAAAGTGGGAATTGGGGCATTTTCTGGTGGGTGTGCAGTACTTTTTGCTTCATATAGGTTTGCAATCCACATAGAGTGGAGTGAAAAGGAGCTCACCAAGAAGCCTGCTTGCTTGGAAGGCCATTTCAAAAGGATCATCGCTTATTACCCCCACCACCTCTTCCTTTCCGTTTTCTTCTTTCTCCCTCACTTCGTCCACCTTCTTCTTTTCCTCTGCAGCCTGCATTGCAGGCTGGGGCAATCCAACTGCAACTGCCCCCGTTTGTATCAGAGAGACGACTGAGGTTGATGGTAAAAGGCGAACCAGCGATGTCAACGCCTCCCCACTTGACGCTCAACGTGTAGACGTCTGCAGAGTTGGGAGTGAAGTGAACGTTGAATATGGCACTCCACGGCTCCGAGACGGCCACTGGGACGGCTCCGACGCTGGCTCCTGTACAGGAAGCGCTCATGGGGCCCTCTCCTGCCCGCGTGGCGTCGAATATGATCGCGATGGGCTCGCCGAACCCGGTGATCTGGCCTGGCGGCTCGGCAACCTTCACCTTCTCCGGCCAGCAGTGGGCGGACACGGGTCGTTGGTGGCCGTTAACGGTGCTCGTTGTTGCAGCTGTTTCTGCAGCGGCGTCTGCTCCAGGCGGGGACTGAGGCGGAGAGGCCGGAGCTCCATTTTCTTTAGTCGTCTGTTCTCCCGTCGATTTTTCGCCAGTCGCCTCGGCTCCATTCTGCTGTGGTTGCTCCTTGGCATTTATCTTCGCCTCCCTCTCCCTCTGCTTCCGTTCGTTCTCCTCTAGCTTCTTCCTCTCCTTCTCCAGCTTCTTTTCTTGCTTCTCTCTCTCCTTCTGCAGCCGCTCCTGCCCCTTTCTTCTCTTTCTTCAGCTGCTTGGGGTCCTTGGCCGAGGCCGAGACCGGACTGTAGCTGTTCACGTCGGCCATGCTTCCCGCTAGGTTGAGCGACAGCAGCTGCAATATGCCCTCGACTTCAGTGAACGAGTTGTTCAAATAGATAGCCGACCACCAGGCCACCTACTAGAAATCATGCGCAGAGACCTCCAGCCAAGCCCCACCCTTTTCGGATCCTTGCGATAACCCTGGAAAGCAAATGCGCTCCAATAAAAACTGTATTGATTGTTGCTATTTGTGGATTTCACACGTTGTGAGAGCTACAATTCAAGTTCTCTTAGTTCTACTCCTGTGCTTCTTTTTCTTGCAGCCATGAAGAGATGCCCTGTGTAGTTCTTCCTGTGCTTCCAGCCGTCGTAACTTCCCAGCGAGACTCAGTCCATGCCTCGCAGCTCTGCACACACACATGTATGCATGAGTATCAGAACATGAGTGGATGGTAATAACACTTGGTGGATTTACAATCACAAGTACATCAAGCATATTACATAACAATAAGGGAAGCAAAGAAGAATTCAAGAATTAGAAACACTCATAACTCAACAGCATGCAACCAAAAAGTACACAGTTTCAGCCCTCACTTGTGGCCAGTTCTCCCTCCACAAGCTTTCAACAATTCTTCATCCGATATCCTATATAAAAAACAACACACAAATAGGTATATTAACTGTGGTTATAATAACTATGCCATAATGGTGTAGATGAAATCTATCAAGCACCATACCACACACAACGCTTCTTAAGTGTGAAGTGTGACAATCAATGAATATTAGAGCAACAGACAAACCTCCACATATTCTGGTCGTCAAGTTTGCCGGTGGCACACAGCCCAACGTGTCTGTCTCCAGCCTCGTCCTCATCTCCATCCCTCTCCTCCCTGCCTCCACACTGGGTCACTCTGGACGGCAGGAAACCATCATGTACCAGTGAGTCACGGCCATCGTAGCATCGTCTGCCGATGCTGTGACTGCCCACAGTCTGCGCTGAACTGATACTGACAGAGTCCTGAAATTGAGAGGTAAAATGTCCAAGGCCAGCTCTACTCCATTCACACCATCATGTGGCAGCAAATTATATGAGAGGGCAAAAGAGGTCTCTTGTTGGTAAGTACTCTAGGTTGTTTCCCCATGTAATGAGCATAATTTATCGCTATAATGATGTAATCTAGATAAAAGGTATATAATTATTAGAACCAGGCAATACTATGTGCTCTAGATAGCAGTGCAAGGGTCTTACCTGTGTATTACAGACTGAGAGACTATCTGCAGCTCTGTTGTAGCTGGAGGCCCACCAGAAAACCGTCTCCTCGGTCACTGGACTATATCCAACCTGAAATTGTGCGTGGTGCGCGTTATTTAGAACGTAGTGTTCAGACCAGTGGCCAAACCTTTCAACAGGATACTAAATAGATCAAATGAAGTATGCGTGTTTTACTTACGCCAATAGTGTCTCTCTTTAACTTTACTTTCACCGGTTCCACTATGCCACCTCCGTTCTTGCCCAGACCCTCACCTGACGTACGTAAGTACGTCAAGTGCGCGCAGCAGCAATAGCAGTCAGCACTTGTGCACCGTATGTGTGTGTGTGTCACGTATTCACCTTCTTTCCAGCCAAACTTTTGCAACTGTTTCTTTGCGAAGTCCCCTGCCATGCACTGCGCGCTTAGTTAGTAGGTAAGCGCGCAATCAATTTTTCAATCAACCCTAATACGCATGCGCAACAAAAACCAATTGAGTGTGTGTGTATTGTGGTAAAAAAATATAGCATCGACATAAAACAAAATTGAGTTTGGCAATGTGCATGTAGTCTAGGGCCCTATGTCTGATGGGGCATTTCTCTGACGCCAGTTTTTGAGGTACTCAATGGCAGACATCCACCTGAGAGAGAGAGAGAGAGCAAAAACAGGTGTTAGTAAAGTTGTTTGCTAATAATAGTAACAATGGGAGTGTATAGATTACTGATACAGGTGTTGTGAAACTTTGAAGGAGAAAAGTATTCCACAATTTTACAGTTTCTTCTTACAAAATATTAGACTGGGACTAGTCTGTGAATAACTCTTAATTTCCCTCTCTTTTGAAAGTTTTTAGCATAATGCTGAAAACTTTCAACAAAATCACAAAATTGGCTCACAAAACACAGAACAATCCTGTGTTTTGTGAGCTGATTTTATGGCCTGTGAGACTAAAGTCATTGTGCTCACTTCCTCATGGTGGTCTCGTCGTGGGCCTGTAGCTGGAAGGTTCTCCCCTCGCATTGGACGAGGAAGGTGGCATGGTTCTTGTCCTGCTGGGCCGGGCTGATCTCTTGAACACTAACCACAAGATCTAGGTCTATGAACCTGCCAGGGGGTGACAGACACAGAGAGAGTGTATAATCAACAACATTGTCCCCATAATATCCTCACTAACACGCACAGATGCATTGTGAAAGCAAATGACACGCTGTATGTAAGCAGCAAATTTTGTTTGAAACCCATCTGTATTAATTAGGCTGTTCAGACATTTATGAGCCCCGAAAAATTTTGCACCTGGCCCTTAGAGATACCTTGGATTTAATGCACATTATGGGTGATTACTATAGTGAGTACACAGTGGTTGTTGGGACACGGGCACAGACACATACCCCTGAGGAGTGCCTTCGGAGGCAGACTTGTAGTAGTAGATCTTGCTGCCCTGGTCGCAGCGGAAGTACCTCCGCCGCCACAGGCTGGCCGTGGGGCCTCTCAAACCTCTCTTTAGCAACCACCCACGAATCTGGGGAGAGAGTCGGTCAGTTTAATAAGAGTGAAGCTATTGAGACTACTGCACAAAGCAAAGCAGGTGTGGCGCAGAATTACAAGATATTGCACCGAGAAAAACTGAATGAACATTTATTTATGTGAGAGGTATTGCACATTCCGAAACGTTTTACGTGATTCTAAAGACGTGCACACCATAAAATATTGAAAAATGCCGTGGTACACACAGACATTACTAGTACTGGAATAAGGCACAAAATGGAGGTGGGTCCCTGTTACTGCGCCCACTTCCTGCTTCCACCCACAGCTACATTATCCCACAGACTGTCATTTCGTGAGACCTACCACCACATCAACCAGCAGTGGAACCCCTCCCCTCTATAGACACCCCTGAAATGAGGACACCTTTCATTCCCTTTATATACCAAAGAACAGTTCTTTCGCTTCACTGATGTGGACACTATCTTCTGTCCCATTCATGTCTGATTTCCAGTGTATGGACCTCACACACTACTGACTGAACAGTACTACAATACTCACATTGAGGTTGGCCATCAGTTCTCTCTTCTCATCCTCCAACTGCCTGCTGGATTTCTCCAGACTTGTCAGCTGCACAGAGCAACACACAGGGCATCAACTTTATTGTGCACACTAGACAGCTACTACTTTTACTTTCACAACTCTCACCCCATCCTTTCAATTCTCACCCCCTCCTACGTTTCCCTTCCCAACTCTCCCTCTTGCCTCCCCTCCCATTTCCTCCCTCGCCACCTTCTTACTTCCTTGTGAGATTACTTCTTCTCTGCGGCACTGTTCCTTGCTCTATTTTTGCTCCTACTCCAATTCACGTGCCTTGGCCTTAAGCTCTAAGATACTCACCAAAAACGCTACTTCTGTTTCTACTCCTCGTCCCTCCTCCCCCTATATATATAGCACAAACCTTGGACTGAAAGTCTCCAATCTGTCTCTTCAACTCGGCCACCTCCTCGTTCAGGTCGTCGTTGGTCTGTTTGAGGGACATGTTCACCTCCTCCAGGTGCCGCAGTCTCTCCTCCTTCTCCTCCATCTCTTCCACCGTGGGTCCTCCCCCGGAACTGCTCTCCTTCCCCTTCTGCTTGGACCGAGATCGCTGTACACACATTCACAACCAGGCAGAAAAATCAAACATAAACACGTGACTCGGAAACACAAAAAGTGATAGAAATATAAAATAATATGGTCATCTCTACCAGGTTAGCATCACAAATAGATAGAGCAAATGGCAGAATGACTGCCGACGTTAAAAGTGTTTCGAAATTACAGCAAAGCTGCCATTACAAGCACTTATGTAACACTGATGATCTCAAGCACAACAAACACCCACACATACACACCTGACACGAAGCAATGGTAGAGTTAGAATGGTGGGTGTCCTGCTCTTATATGCATGCAGTGAAGGAAGTGGTTAGAGGTGACAGTTGCCTAACAGGATGTGTTGCAAGAAGATTAATACTTATTTAAGATGACATCATCTAAAGTAGCCTACTAAATATAGCTACAAGTCAGCCATGCGGGGCTGAACTATGACAATTAACGAATCGCTAGTCAAAACGACAGACTATATACACTCATCAGCTATGTAATACCCAGAGCTATGGTGGGAATAATGATGCATGTATATATACAAGATGGCCCCAGGGGAGAAACATCCACATGACAATCTGCAATGTTATGCTAAGAGTTTTGCTCACCGATCTTTGCTCCACTGTCACCCTAGCTCCACCACCCTGCAAGTTTGGAGTGCATTCATTAATGTTGATCCACTCATGCACCGCGTATATTACAGCAGGCAAAGTTTGAAACTCACATCCACTAAAGCGACTTATATACCTGCCAAACATACATAATTATTATGTGCCTCGAAAATTAGTATATACACATGTGAAAAGTGACGAATTGCACATCTGAAACGTACACTGTATTTCCCTTAGTGTAAGGTTGACACGTATTGCTAACGTTACATACACCACCGTTATGCAGTACGCTAACGTACACACGACATTATGCGTTCATAGCTATAAAAACAAACGCACCTCAGTGTCACTGGCGTCTCCCGCCGACTTTTGAGAATCAAAACCCCCTGGACTCTTCGACAACTCGACCTTTTCGAGGATAAGCGCAAAGAAACAAACAAAAGAGAGCTTCTTTACACACACAGGCTGACTACATAAGTACTGCCGGGTGTGTGCTGTGCTGAAAGGGACTGTGCTGCAGCAATGAAACTTGAGTCACAGAGTGAGCCAAAAGAGCAAATTGAAAATCAGGAACTTGCACTTTTTCAGAGCTGTAGTGAGTGTTGGGCTAATTGAACCCATAATATGCTTCTCTCTGCCACTGTACGTACACCATGCGACTTGTCACATGCCAACAAAGCCTTCGCTCAGTTTCTTGTCTCTCACAAGTAATAGAAGGCTGTCGTGTGTCTGTTTTTTGACAGCTTGTTGCTGCAAATTGCCTTATTGATGCGCTGCAGTTACGAAGCTAACCAAGGAAGCATACTATGTTAGCACAAAGCCGCGTCCAAAAATACAAAAAAAAAAAACAAAAAGAAAAAAAAAAAAACAAGACATACAAACCCTAAAAGCCACGGACACAAGCCAAGATCCAATCCCCCCGTGCCGCCCCGAAGGCCGAAGCGCCACCTCCAGGACGGGCACAGCACCACCCATCGCCCACAAGACGTGCCACGGAGACTCTATTGGTTAGCAATAGCTCCGACCGCGGGCAGGGGACGGATCCAACATCCCACGGAAGTCCTGAGACCCCTCCTAGTGGGCATCGCCCGAAAAGAGCCCCCCCGCAAGCGCACCTAGAAGCCCGGCCCCCCCCAACGGGAGCCACCCCCTGCGCACAGGTTAGGAACCGGCACGCGGAACCACCGTCAGCCTACGCATGCAGTATACCACCATGCCGCGCGCGGAAAAACCCACACCCCACACGGAGGGCTGCCCCACTCAGCCACGCAAACCCACGCTTCCCGGACGACTACCCCCCCAGGGACCCATGCGCCCACGATTACCAAAAATAGCCTATCCCCACCGGAACCGGCCACCGCCCATAGCTCAAGCCAACGCCCATTCAGCACGCGCGGCCGCTCCCCCTAGCCGGAAAGCGTCCTGAACAGGCACCTCCCCAGGGGCCGTGCTGGCCCGCAAAACGCCAGGTCCAGTAGTGAAGCCAAGTCTAGCGGGACGCTGGACGCCGGGCAACCCCCCGTCCTACGCCCTTACACCACAAGCACTCGGGCGTGAGGACCGGCCGATTGACCGGCGAGCCGGTGGAACCAGGGCCTGCCTACCGGTCCGTGCAAGAAACAATGCACGCCTACGGGTTTGCCAGAAGTCGTAACGTGCCCACCCCCACCTGTCCTCGCCACCCCGTTTTCTTGTCGAATAATCCTCACTGTTTGCTCCTTGGAAGGCTTGGCAATGGTACTCTTGAGAGTCTTGAGCAGTCCACCCTTCTTCCCGACCACCTCCTCTCCCTCTCCCGCCTCTGAGTGCTGGCTCTTCTCCTGCCACTTATTGTACAGCTTCAGGACTGCTGAGATGGACGTTGCTTGCTCTACTGCCTTCCTGGCCCTCTCCTCCAACTGTCACACACACACACACACACACACATTCACATCACATGTACCTCACACCAGGTGAAAAAATCACCTTCGTAGCTAAACCCTCTGCCAAGTGTACATCTAGCCAATAAAACTTGAACAACTGAACTAACATGTACTCATCTCTCTGCAGTTGGCTACATAGTCTACAGCTAGCCTCATAACCTATCAGAGTTCAGTTAGCCTCTTTACTGCACTTACCAGTGCTCAACAAACACAAGCTGCAGAAACTGAAGCTATTGATACGGTTTACTTCACTGTCACCATGGACAAAAACACTATAACTACACAGCAGTTGCCAGGTGTACTAACTGACTTGCTCAGGCTGCTACACGTCCTTTTATACCCTCACATCCTCCCATTACATACATACATACAGCTGTATATATAATTATATATACAATGTTATGGTGTTTTGCACAGGAAATATGCATCACCAACAGTTCGTGTTATGGCTATTGGTGTTGCTTTATACAACACATATGTACACGGGCTATGAATCAAACCAACGTACCTTGACCCCAGACTTGCTGACAATGGTCAGAATGGGAATTGCAGCCACACTGAAAATGGGTTAACAAGAAGCTGCATCATTATCCACGCACTAATCATTAACCACGCACTATCATAATCACCGAGTACGGATGTGGAATCTCTCTAAAATCAGAGACCAATGGGACGGAATAAAGAGTGTCCATATTAGAGTTACGTACACTGTATACATGGGATGGGCAAAGTGTACATCATAGATGTATGGCCAATGATATTATCAGTTTTTCAGTAATAAACTCCGACTTTAAAGTATACTTAGAAGATATTCCTAGGTGGACATATATAGCTGAATTGTTTGATTTCCACTTGCCTTGCATCGACACCACATGCATACAATTTGTACACTCCTCTAACTAATGCACGTGGGATCATACACTGCCCACTGTTTTACGTCGGTATGTACACATTTAATGTACATGTTGTGAAATTGACTGTCCTAATATGCAGAATTGCATGCAGAGGTGGGCATGTGTGTGTGTGTACGCACAATTACGAGGCGGTGTCACGTTTCAGTCTACAAGCCACTAAAACAGAAGTCAGCTAAAGACCCAACATCAGGTCAGGCAGCCCCCGCCCCCTTCTCTATACTGTCTGAAGGTAATAATATGCTACTATATATAGTTTCCTTTGAAGTGGCACATGAAGAAAATGGGTCGGCCAAACATTGAACATTGAACATCATAGTGCTATATACTGTATGTGGGCTAGGGGGGACACACAAAGACATGCGGCCCGAGCCGAAACTGATGTCAGTGAACGAAGGAACAGTAGTCTAAACTGACTACGCAAGTGCTACAAACTGTATATTATAGTCAGCTGTGGATGGACGCAACAAAAACACACAGGGAAAGCCTACACTGCTTACCGCAGTCTAAACCGTGTAGATATTATTATCTACGCAAGTTCTGAACACAGTACGAGACTAAACTGACTTGTAGTCGACTCTGAGTTTGTCGGCGACGGTGCTGTCAAAGGCGAGAGACATCCACGGCATCTGCTGCTCCTGCATGTACCTGGTCATCTCCTGCTTCGAGCTACGGAGAGAGGAGGAGGAGGAGGGGGAGGCAAGGGGGGGGGTTTAATGGAAAAGTTATTATCAAGAGATGTAGCACATACAGAATCACAAATATATGGAGTGAGTGTGCACAATTTCTGCACTTTTTCTGTGAAGCTTTATGAGACACAATTTTGCCATTTAGAGGGTTGTATTATACTTACTAGTCACTGGAAATGTAGAGCATCTCGAAACGTTTCTGATTCTGCTTCAAATTGTGGTAGAACCTGGAATGAGATCAAGTGATGTGTGTCACCATACAGTATTATACTGCACGGTGACATGGAGTGTGTGGACGGGTATACACGTACTTGACAAGCTTTGGAAGAAAGCGTCGACAGGGTGGACACCAGTTGGCCGAGAAATAGAGCTGCAGATTGACAACGAGATGATTCACCAACACACACGTAATTGGAGTTAGAAATGTTTCCAGGCAGGCTCCATCATGAACTAGAATCACTCACAACAGTACAGGCAGAGTCTACCGTTATGCTGGGCTAGCCTAAATCCTAAATGAACAGTGGAGAGGGGCCCTGGGAACTGCTAAATTACACTAAGGTAGGGGCTCACTCCAATTATCTCAGCGTCTTCCAACTTTTCTCTGGACACCGCCTCTCCGAAACAGTTGACAAACTGGGCATCGCCCAGCCACGCCTCCAGGGGAGAGACAGTGGGCGTGGCTTCTGCCACTCCCTCTTCCTCGTCCCCCTCGGGCATGTCCTCGTAGATGTGATTAGTGGGCGGGGTCCATTCCTCCTTGGACGCCACGATTTTCCGTCCGGAGTTGGTGCGAGTGGCAGTCTGTGAATGGCTCTTTGCACCAGAGGCACCACCAGCTGCAGCCCTCTGCTCTTCTGAAGGTGAACACATTCACACACGTACATACATTGACCGAATGCAACACAAAATATGGTGAGCAAAATGCAAGCTTAAGCTTTTACACATACATATCAACCACTACGATAGGGACATTGCAGTCTACACATTAGACAATCTAGCTGTGATTGCTTTTCGTTGCTTTAGAACTACTCTCACACTCAAAATTTTCAGGGCACATGGCACACACATGTGAGGCACAGGTGAGTTTTGAAAACGCGGTGCAAATATTTGGAGGCACGGACAAAAAGTACTGCACAGCAAACATTGCCGTGAATCACGCTGGTAAAATAGTCGAAAAAATTGAGCATAGCAGCAGAGCAGAAGTATGGACGATTGTGATCTGTGTGTCGACTCAGTTCCGGCAACGGTGCTGACTGTGGTATGGACTTACCGAGGATTCTACTAGCCTGATACGCCATGTCGAACGGATCTTCGTCGCTGACTAAAATGACGGGACTCGTCACACCCGGGCTCTTCTCTCTCATCTCCCGAGAACCTTCCCTTCACACTTTCCCCGGGAACCACTTTCACTTCTTCCTTGTGACTCCTTTTGTCTTCTCGTTTCCCTCCTTCCTTGTCCACTCTGTTCTCCCTGGGTTGATTGGTAATCTCCGCATGACCGCCGTCACTTTGCTCCATCTCTCTCCTCTCTCCTCCCTCCTCTCCCTCACTCACGTGTACCACCAGGCGGAGTTTCAGCTGGTGGGAGCAGGTTAAGGTTAATCAGAAATGGTGACCCGGGGACATTGTGTCCGCTCCATAGGACACTCAACATGAACATGTCGGCCTCAGTCGGGGTGAACTGAATGCGATAGTGGCCATTTGATTCCTCCTGGACGCTGGTTTCAACTGTCTTTGTCTTTGTTCCCTTGCAGACTGCGCTGAGGCTGCCCTCCCCTGCACTTCTGATGTCAAAAACTGCCGAAATTGGCTGGCCACATGTGGCGACGTCATTGGGTTTTGTTGTCATGACAACTTCCGCCACCTTTGCCGCATTCTCGTCATCTTCTTCACTTTTCTTGTCTTTTTCCTCTTCTTTTACCATTTCTTCCTCCTTCTTGTGTTCTCCATTAGTGAGTGGACGCTTTTCTCTCGGAGGGAGGGCTGGACTATCACGCGCTTCAGGAGTCGGCGATTTCGACTTGTCCTTCAGTCTCCTCTCGGGTATCGGCGATTTCGATTTCTCCTTCAGTCTCCTCTCGGGTGTCGGGGATTTCTCTTTTAGTCGTCTCTCCCTCTCTTTCTGTCTGCGTTCCTTCTCCTCTTGCCTCTCTCGGTCTTTCTCCTGCTTCTCCCGCTGCCTCTTGGCCCGATGAGACGTCCGCCGATCCTTTGCTTTTTCTCGCGGTGGCTCCCCGTCTTTCTTCTCCGCCTCCTCATCGCTTCTCTCCCACGGTGCTTCTTCAATCCCTCCCTCCACACTCCCAACATGTCCCTCGGCGTTAAGATTCATGTACATTAGTCCGGTCTCCCCGGTCTCCGCTGTCTCCGGCTCGGCCTCAACCTGAAACTGTGTCTCCGCTTCTTCTTCTCTTTCGTCCGTTTCAAACTTTCGTTGCACGGAAGGGCTGTGACCGGGCGTCCCGCGACGCTCTGGTTTTTTTGGCGGGCCTTTCGGAAGCGTCGTTCGTTTCAAAAGCTCGCCGTGCCTAGCGTCACCAGTTCGGTGTCCCCCGTTGCCAGGGGGAGGCCTGGAATGAGACAGGGAAGAGAGAGGGAGGGAAGGAAAAGGCTCAATCAGTGACATCACTATACCAGGTTCTATAATTAGCAAGGTCTATATTTAGAAACGAGCGTCCTAAAATCAGCACAATCTCTTGGCATACAAAATGAGGTGATAGATTGGAGAGATGAATGACGTAATGAGGTCTAAACAAAGGGGCCACCCGGTTAGTGATGTCACTGACTAAATGCCTTCTAACCCACTTCTCTCTCTCTATCTATCTCTTCCCTGACTCAGACTCTATGGCCGGTGTTGCTTCAGCTTCAGTTTTTCTTTGTTCTTGATGGCCGTTCGACGAGAGAATATAGATTCATACAGCCAATACTAAACCACATAAAGCACACCTGGGTTGACTAAAACTGAAGCGGTAGTCTAGCTACCAACACACCAGGCTGTCTATAGCACTCACGGCCTATATGCAGTGCTAAGTATAGGCCCTAACGTGCGCGAACACACAGGCTTCTTACTAAAGACTAAAAGGTGTAGACCTAAAACGTATGCAGGCGCACAAACCAGCTAACTTAACCCCTACATATTTCAGCTTTAGACCTCACACCATGATAGCTGCCACACTGGTAAAAACGCTCCACTAAAAGCAACTTACACACACCCTACAAAAACTCCAATTTCACACAACGCTGAGCTAATGGACACAGTTATGACCTACCACACACACACAGATAGTTGATGCACCTATGTAAAACATCACACACTCTATATATGTTTATATACATACAATAGTGTCAATAACACACAAACAATGAACATACGTACATGTAATTATTATGTCAGAGACGGAGTCCATGGAATCTATGGCCACTATGTGCTTATACATACAGCCGATCAGTATTACAGATTTTGGCGACTTGCAAACTTTAACTAAAAGCTGTACTGGCATGACTGACAGGAATGAGGTAGTGTAGGTGTACCTCTACATATGTGTATGTATGTATGTATGTATGTATGTATGTACCTCTCCCAGAGGTGCCGTCAGAAGTAACAGCTGCCACAGCTTCAAGCTCCTCCTCCTCCTCGTCAAACTGGAGACTGTCCTGACCGGTACTCACTGCACTGAATGTACTCTGCATGTCATCATCACTGGAGGTGGGGGGAGGGAGGGAGTTGAAGCAGGCTTTGACTAGCTTACCAGCATTACACCTTATAGCTTGCCTGCACTACATACAATGCTTACCAGCATACCTTAGCTTCTAGACGTCAAGCTATTATCACCTAGGCCAATATGTACATTGTTCAACTGTTGGTGTGGATTGATAATTATAGAGCCTCTTATGATATACAAGCTTGCAACATTTGGGAACGCATTCCACAAGATTAAACCATCACGTAATGTAAATTCTGCCAATTAAGTGAGAACGCAACATCAGTGTATGAATGTAAGACAAAGTCTCCATCTACAACATCAATATCCTTTTGAGGTCAATATTCATAGAATGTGTAAATTGCGTGCAGCGATGGTAAAGGGTGCACAGGAGGGAGTGCACGACCTACGTAAATGGCAGTGCAGCACCTCGTGAATAGCGCGGAGCGTAAAGACTAGTACGTGGCCAGATCTCACATGGCATTGCCTCGTTTCATGAATTCCGCCTGCAGAGTTATTCCCAGCACCGCCTTGTTGATCTTCTTGGAGACCGGCTTGAAGGACATGTCCAGAGTGTGTCTGCAACAGATTGAAATGGAGACTCACAGTAAACCAAATCTGAGTCCAACCGCTATGAGTATGAGACACAACATTGTGCATGGAGTGAACTACGAAACTAGTAGAATTTTTAAGAAAAGCTTCCGTGAACTGTATCTACATATGTACTGTATGTGTAAGTATGCACCATTGTCCTATTTTGTCCTTAGTTAAACGTGCAGTGGTGGCCCCTATGGGCTTCCGTATGGGATAGTCCACATACAACGAACCTAGTGAGTCCTACACCAATGCACTGCTCTTAGTAAGTGTCTTAACAACCTGTAAGGTTTAGGTTGTCCTGAAGTGATTGTTCAGAGAGAGAGAGAGAGAAGTATGTAGTGTGTCAAAGGACCTACTACACACTCACTGTGTGACCCCCATTGAGAAAGGTCTCCTCGGAAAGGTTTGTACGGTTGAAGCAGTATTAATTGAATGGTAGTGCGTACGAGGCACTCACCTGGAGCCGTTGAGAGTGGCGTATTCGGAGATGTCCATGTTGAAAGACGCCACTATCTTCTTCCCATTAGGTCCGTCCTAATGGAAAGTGGGACATTCACCAATCATACACCAAGTAACTATACATAATACGGGAAAGCCCAGGGTAATTGTATTGTACACAGGAAGGAGTGAGAGTAGCTCATCTGAACTAAAGACTAAAGAGCCGGAACAACACATACAGTGTGCTACTAAAGAAAATGTGGCGGTAATAAGGTCTAAAGTTAGAAAAAATAATGTTACTAAAAACAGTAACACAGTTGCATTCTTGTACTGGGCCTAGTATATACATATTCCCAAAAGTGTCATTTGGAGACACTGAAAGTTAAAGCTTTTGCACTAGCACACCTTTTCCTAATAAGAGCTAATTCAATTGATTGTGAATGGTAGTTTCCATAGTACAGGAAATTTCCAATTACCATGGGGAAAGGTTCAGTTGTAAAAGTAAAATCCCTGCTTGACCCACAGCCAACCCCTGGGAATGCTAATTGTACTCTGCAATGCGGGAAACTACCCAATGCTCAATGGAACATAAACTGAAATGGGGAAAATGTAGTGTGTGCGTAGCTATCCCTTTATAGCACGTCAAAATGCTGGGCATCTCTAATATTAGCTAGTTTCTCAAAAATGCACATGCAATACTCATGTAGTTGACTTGTTTGCCTTGCCTTTCTACCTCGTTACCAAGTTGTTGAGACATGCACTTTATATCAAGATACAACAATCTGATGTTCAGATATGTGGATGTTTCTTCGGAGCTTGACTGACTTACACTCTCGATGTAGTACTTGTACTCTTTCTCTTCAAAATGTTCTTCTTTCCCGCTGGTATCCTGCACGGTAACCATCAGCACCGTAACACACACATACACACATACATACATACAGTAAGTACACATACATACAGTAAGTACACACACATACAGTAAGTACACACACATACAGTAAGTACACACACACAGAGAGAAAGCACTCGATGGACACACAATGTTTACCAAAACCTCCAAGTAAATTGTTCCTGACTCCAGCAGTAAAACTTCCGTATTACCATTTCTTGCATGCACACTCTAAATGAGAGCACTTATTCTTATGTACATACATTATCAGTCTTGCCGGTAAATGGTTTACAAATACCCTAAAAATCTTAGTATACTTGAAGACACACACATGCAGTCAGTCAACTCACTCCATATACAGTCACAAGGAGAGCCACGGAGAATGAGGGGTCAAATGTTGCCTTCCCTAGAGCTCCATTTGGCCCCCTGTCTTCAGATGGCTGCCATTTGACCTGGAGAGAGAGAAAAAGGTTAAACCAGCAGTGAGCAATGAGTAAAGGGTTAAAAAGACAGGGAGCAAAGAGTTAACAACCAACAGTGAGCAAAGGGTTAAAAGTATCAGGGAGCAAAGAGTTAACAACCAACAGTGAGCAACGGGTTAAAAGTAGCAGAGATCAAAGAGTTAATTAGCAACCAACAGCGAGCAAAGGGTTAAAATTAGCAGGGAGCAAAGGATCATTAACACACAGAGAACAAAGGATAATAAACAACAGAGAATAAAGCTAAAGAAACCGAGATAAAGAACTCGGGAGAAAAAGGTAATGATTGCAGGTAACAGGTTTGGCAAAAGGAACATACAACAAGCTGATGAAGATTTGGGTTTGTTCATGACTTCCAACACACCGCTAACTGCACTCACTACAACGCTGGTCCAAACATGGAAAGGCACTCACACGAAATATCTGTTCACGTATATACTACAACACTTAATTGGAAATCCATCTTTTGTGTAAAGTCACATGCTTCTCCATGTATGTATAGCTGGCGACTACAACATTAACATCTCATACTTTGGCTACATTGACTGCTATAAATTACTTCCCAATTAAAATTTCACTTTCTGTAGTACGTATGCATAAACGTTGTTGGCTGTTAAAAGGAACAATAACAAACACAAAATTCTCTTATGGGCATACATACATGGCATATGGCAGAATGGACCCTTGCTGCTTCAAAAAGGTGTATGCAACAGTTTCCTATTTGCCTGTTGCACGCACACCATGTTGGATCATGAAAAGGAACAATGCTCAAACGGAACAGTTGTTGAAAGTTGCGGACGCTCACACCAGAGTGCATTTGTACACACCTTCCATATATAAAAAAAAATGCAGAAAGGATAGCGTGGCACACCTTTTGAAGCAAAAGGGAAATACTAAATACTACCAAAAGTAAACCCCTAACAAAAACATTGCGAGGTAATGATAAATGCTCCCAAATCTCCCAAGGAAACATTGCCGGCCTCAATATCATCACAGTAGCCTATGGGAGTGTGCATACAGTAAGATGTCGTGCTTACGTCTATAGACTGGACTCTTCTGTGGCTCCGGATCCAAATCACCCTCACGTTCTCTGGTCTCCTGATGGGGACAATATAGTAATAGTCACAAGGCAGTATTAGACAAACGCCCAAACTCAAAGAAACGTAGTAGCTAGCTAGCTAGCGCACGACTACTGCACGCTGAACTTCGGCCCCGATTTATAAAACGGCACTTAGCATCTTGCGGTAAACTATAAAGAAGCCGCAATAACAACGCACGGCTCTGGCCAAGCGCCAGCCTAGACAGCACATGTAGCTAGCTCGCTACAACTACATATCTAGCTAGCTATGCTACAACAACAAAGCAGCTGATACACTGCTAGCTAGCTCACCATGTTCCGTTGCACCCAAGGTCGATATACTCGAACGTGGAGGTGATCCGAAACTGGTAGGCCGTCTTACCGACCCTCTTCAGCTTCCTGGCCACCTTTCCAAGACTCATTTTGCCGCTTTCTACCACCGATCTCCTTGGGCCGGGCAGAATCACCGAAAATCAGGCGACACCGCCCCTATAAATGTGGGCGTTGCTGTGCTGCTGCCGAAACGGATTACGTCATTAACAAATACGTCACAGCTAGCTCCCAGGGCAGAAAAATGGCTTCCAAAGGGGCGAAGGAGGATCCCGCGAATAAAGAACCTCAGGATCAAGACTGGAGTTCTGAAGAGGTTGAGATGCATAGGCCGTTGAGCAAACCAATTGTAGCTGTAGATACGTATCACAGTGGTCTATGATAACTAACTGTATCATGTATGGCTAGGTTGATAAAGGAGAAAGCGATGTATGAGACAGAAGTGGTGGATCAGGAAGCAAAAATAGTAAAGTTGAAGGCGGAAGGACAAGACGAACACGTCATAAAGAAGCAGGTAAGTTTGAGAGAGCAGGTTGCAATCTCTATGCACCTAAAAGAGGGTCTTGATAATCAGTCACCAGACAATGGCAATGTAATGCAGATGAAAAACACGATGTTTAATGCTGACTCAAGAATCTAGATAACCACACAGTAATGTCAGTCAGATCGAGCACATGGAAGACATTGTTTAAAGGGAAAGTCCTGGGGAATAGACTTTTCAGAGCATGTTGTGTGTCTGTAGGGAGAGGTATTGCTGGAGTCACAGAACATGGTGCCCGACTGCCGGAGGAGAATTCAAAAAGCATACTCTGACCTCAAGTCCCTTATGGTTGGTACACTCATTGCCTCTCTTTTGAGTCATTTCACTCTTTGGTGTAGTTTCATGATAGTATAATGGTGCGAAGTTTACTAGCCATGGGTGTGTGTGTGTTCTGAATTCTCTTGCCCTTCAGGGTGAGGACTGGACTGGTTTCACAGATAGTGAACAGTACAAAGCAGCACGGGAGATCCTCGATAATAATAAAGATTTGGACGACACAGAAACGTCATTTACAGAGTAATGTATGTATTACAGTGTGTGTGACTAGAATGACACATCATTGGAGAGTTGAAACCATGATTATCTTCTTGTACGAGCTGTGCTGATGTAGAGAACTGCGAGTTAGATAAAACGAATGAAAATATAAGCAAGCCAGCTATATTCTTACCATTGTTGCCTCTGATGAAAGCATCACCATACTTGCTCTTCAACTATACATACATAACAACGGCACATTTTGTAACTTTACGTATATTTGCTCCTTACCTGGCCGTTCACATATTCCTCAGTCTGCTCCAGAGCTATGTTCATATAGCCGTCTAGGCACGCAAGAACACCTGCGTACGGCGGGGAATTCTATTTAACGCGCATCCGATAACTTCGCGCGAGACGTTGGCTTGCCTCTGTAGTCGACGCCGGAGTTGAGTTTGACCACCACTGGTTTACCAATTATAAGCTTGAGAAAGTCACTGGGATTCTGCTTCTTGAAGCTCATTCTCGAAGATTAGGTTTCTATATAGTGCCCACCACAGTTGCGCACGTGCGGAGGGTTGCTATGGTCACTGAAACTGCTGAATCAGCAGTCCTGCAAAATACGACTCGGTCAAGCTATGATGCAGGTTGCTCAGGAATATCTAGAGAAAGGAGAGCTACAGAAGGCAGCCGAGGAGTTCCAGAGAGCCGCAAAGGGAGCCGAGCAGAGTCCCGTGGGGTCGACAGAGATCCCAGAGCTCCTGTCTCCTCAACGCTGGAGCCTGCCTCGTGTCCCTGGGCGAATGCGAGAAAGGTTTGTCGTGTCTCAGCTCAGCTGCCGCGATCATAACGGCCAGATCTCCGCCCACTGAACCCGCAGAAGACGAATACAGCTCCTCTCCCACTCGACCTCCAGAGCACCAAGACCGCTCCGGACCAACAGATAACAGAGAAGGCGACAAAGACGTGGAGTCGCTCCAGCTTCTAGCTGACGTTCACTACAACTCGGCAATCGCTCATCAAGCCCTCGGGGATCACGACCAGGCGGCCCAAGAGTTCCAGTCCTGCCTCAATATCCACGAGAAATCTGGCAATCTTCAAATTTCGGCCGACATCCTCACTTCTCTAGCAGACTGCCACCATCAGACGGGACAGTTTGATCAAGAGATCTCCTACCTTGAAAAGGCTCAGGCGGTGTGTAAGGAATTGGGAGAGAGTGGGAGGGAGGCAATGATGTGTGTCAGGCTGGCCAGAGATCATTTCAGGGCTGGGAGAGAGGGAGAGTGCAGGCAGATGCTGAGCTCAGCCAAGATGGTTGGTTCCAGAGTTGTTGACAAGAAAATCTTGGGTAATTGCAAGTTGTGGAGGGAAGATCTCACTCCTTTAAGCCTTTTTGTAAACTCTAGCGGTTGCAAACTAGCTATACATGTAGGTGTATATACAGTGTTTCTTTCAAACTTGCAAGGACTTACTTGCATACTTGAACAGAGTTGACTGCATGTTGCTACTAAACCCCAACCATGTGCAGGTTCACTCTACTCAGAGTGTGGCTGGGTTCACAGCTCACTTGGGCAACACGACGAGGCACTACGGTGCTTCGAGCAAGCTCTTCCACTGGTGAGGGGAGCTGGGGAGAGCGAGAACCAACTGCAAGAAGCCTCTCTGCTCCAAAACATCGGAGCTGCTTACAACGAGAAGCAAATGTACAGCGAAAGCCTGGCCTATCACAGAGAAGCCGCCACAATGCACGGCAAGTTGCACACACATTCGTGCAGTAGACGCTAAGAATCTGAGGAATTTCTCGTTTGCAGGAAGGTTGGAGAGTCAGGAAGCTGAAATCAAGTGTCTCTGCAACTTGGCCTTTGCCCAGGCTCAGCTGGGAGACTATACCCCGGCCTCAGCCACTCTAACTAAAGCGGAGGAAAGTGCTCATGCTACGAAAAACACAGACCTCCAACTTCAGACCTGCGAGTGTTTAGGCAGCCTTTACTATCACATGAGCCAGTTCCCCGAGGCTGAAAGAGCTTTCAACAGTGCACTAGAGTTGCTTGATAAGACCGAGGGAGATACAGAGACCGCCAGAGAGAGGGTGATGAAAAAATTGTCGGACGTAAAACAAGCATCACAGAAGAGTTTAAGAGCTAATCCGTCTACTGACACCCAAAAATCTCCTTCACACAGTAGCTGTGTGACACCACCTTTTATGGAAGACACAGCTCAAGGCAACAGAGTCTCGTCTGCCGAGGGAGAAGAGAGGATGGAAGAGGGTAACACTGCTGCAGTGCGATCCGACACACCTCAAAGCCAGGATAGTCACGAGAGGGAGTTACAGGCCTACCAAGAAGCTCTCAACAGTAGTCACGGAAGTTCAGAGACACTGGAAGAGACGAGTCATCGTTTGTGCAATTCCTCACAAAGATCAGGGCTGGAACAATCTTCGTTATTTCAGAGGCAGGGTGGCGTTAGCTCCCCGTTGAGAGTGACAGAAGGCAGTCTGGCCATAGGAGCCAATGCAAGGGAAATGTACAGGGTGCAGCAGAGGAGAACTGAGGCCAGGCGCAAGGGAAACAGGCGAAAGACTAGCTGCACCACAGAGATTGTCAGGAGGGACCGAGAAGATGGACAACCAGAGGGACCCGCAGGAGACGACAACACAAATGGCTTACCTCAGCCTTCCCCTTCTAGTGACCACACTGTTCATTCCAGGACATGTGCAATCCTCTAGCAATTTTCGGGTTTTAGTGGTGCCGTTATTTGAAATTCTTGCCCATTGTTTTATGAGGCAGCTTCAGATTTATTTACCCAATTCAGAGTACTAGTAGCTCTGATTAGCTTGGAGAGTGAGATGTAAGAGCACATGAATTGAACTAGCTATCACTTTCAATGTTGGAATTACGGCACAGTGTTTGCCCTATAGATCTTGGCTTTTGCGTGGCCGGCAACTGAAGGCCATTACACTCAGCTCGCAATGTACACAATGACTAGTATTACAGGTCAAAAGTGGACATGATCACAAATAGCTAACTAACTGCAGAGTGCTGGAGGTTCAGATATAATCTCCAGTGAGGTGACTAGACCTTGTCCCATTAGCTGAAAGTCTGCAAGAATAGCCTCCGCATCAGGCACAAACAGACATTCCGACTTCTTCTGCATAATTATTACACTATGACAAAAACAAAGGCAGAAATTTTTACTTTACCTTCTTTTTGCTTCCTTTTCCGGGTGCAGTCTTAGTTTTACAAAATGCCTGCATCACCTAATTAGAAAACAAATGAGTAAGGATACTTCGTGTTCACTGCATGTTCAAAAATACATTGGCTAAAATGTATTAGCCAAACATTTTGACTGCACTGTAGTGGCATAAAAAGAACAAAAAGCTGGTTTTTAAGGCGCAAGAGGAACACTATGTTTCCTTGTCTGCACAGTAGTCCTTACCTTGAAAGGCTGAGGGGAGAAGGCCTGAGGTTTCCAGACAACTGCAATACAACGACCACCATACTTGTCATAGAAAAACAGGCAGAACTCTGAATAGGCTCTCTGAAAAGAACAACAATTAGCCCTACATCTAAAATGTTTGTTACAATAATGGTAGAGTGATGCACTTATACAGATGAAGCAACGAGTTAAGCTCACTTCCAATTCAGCGAGGTATTTCTCGACTGAATTAAAGTCTGTGACGGGAAAGTGGGTAGGATCCTTTTGAGACGAGTTTCTGGTGTGGGAGGAGCCTGTTTCCACGGCGACATCAACAGCCAGTGCCGCTAGAGGGACGTGTTTCTTGGTGAGATGAATGAGAACATTGTAGCCAGTCAGAGGTGTTCGGAACACTTGCTGCAAATAGTAAAAATTTACAGAAGTGAACCATTTTACATAACTTAATGGAAAAGTCTCAAATTGACGTGAAGTGAGAAGTTTTGCAGAAAGATCATACCACTAACAGCCCAAAATTCCATGGAAAAAACATTGGAGTTAGATTTCCTCTGTTGACACTTTCCCATTGCATCATGCACATATTATAGAGCAGGCAAACCGTTCACAGTGTAAAGTATACACTGCCTTGATGTCTGCTGTAGGGAGGTCAGGGGAGATGAGCTGGCCGGATAAAACACCGAGTGACTCTTTAGCCAGCAGACACAATCGGTGGAAGACGGGGAATGAGGGAGAGGGGGAGGTCAAAGGTGACGAGTCTCGATGAAGGGGCGTGGCTATGAAGCAGGGAGGCAGTTGGCTGCGTTGCGATGTGAACATTGATCGTATGGCAGCCATCTCCGACACTGTGTATGACAATATTATTTTTCTGGTCATATTTTGTCATTGAGGTACGTAGGATATATATATGTAGTAATGATGTAACACCATTGCCAATGCAGAACTATATACCTCAGAAAAGCTCTGATCATTCACTTACTTCAAATCCAGGATTTTATACATATTTTACATATACGTATTCCATCGTTAACCCTCGGCGCGCATGCGCAGCGAGGGTTACGGTAGTTGTCCCGTAAGTGTGTCTGTCTGTCTGTCACCACGTTTTCTGCCACCGCGCGCACGCAATCAGGTAAATAGCGATATGATCGGGTTCAGTGCTACACTGGGTTGATTTTTAAAAAGGCGATTTTCGTAAAACTACTGTGTTCTAAAGTTATGGCGTGAAAACCAAGTGAACAAGCCAATATGTAAATTAGCACAGGCTTACCTCGACCGCGTCCGTTCGCTCTGTGTGTCTTGAAGTCACACGAAGGGCATGTATCGACTCCCGCATGCTATTTACTACTGAGCAGCCCGTACCAGACTCTCCGCGAGCTACTAGCGATACCACGAGTAAGGCATAAAAAGCCCAGCCCATCAATTAGTGGTACCGCACATGCGCAGTTCGCCGAGGGTTTGCACTTTAGTGCTTTTCATTTACTCAGCACATCGATGACAATTGGTGCTCTCCACTCCGAACAGTTGTTAACTTACAAAGTAAGGGGTAAGTCCCTGACCTGATAGCTCGTTATTGAGGTTAACTATGAGTGGTTCCGTCTCCCATTCGTGAATAGAGAGAAGGAAGAGGAACCGCAGCAGAACAGTTTCCGGAGAACTGAAAGAAAGACACATGCAAAGTGATTCCTAACAAGGGTATAATATATATATATATACTACACACACAGTTTAATCCCTAACAGTCATGCTTCCATTGATTTCACATAATGTTTTTCAATGTTTTCTGCTACATACACACAAAATCCCAGTAGAGACATATTTATGCATGCATGAAGTGAGCGCTAGTTAACCATGGTTGGGTGAAGGGGTGTGGTTGAAGGAAGAGACGGGCCACCATTAGCTCAATTGCCTCGTCCCCCAGATGATTGGTCATTAGGTGGGCGGCTATCCATCTCTTACATAACCTTGCTCCCACTCCAAAGGCTGAATACTGCAGTGACAACCTGATAGAGGGAGAGAAACATAAATATGGTAAAATGTTTCTCGGCCAAAAACTTTTGTGAAATGCTCAAATCTGTAAATGCAGTAGGCAGTCGTGTATATGCCATGCTAGAACCAATTATTTACGATAAAGATAAACATTATTCATAACTGTTATGGTAACTGATAATAATACTGATCAACAACGCCAAAATTGATAAAAAATCTAAAACTCTTCCCCTTTAGCTGAATCGTTAGGTTTCCAATCCCCTGTCTCACCCATGCAGTATGGAGGTAAGCAGCGGTCGATCGACCAACTGTCTCTGCATGGTGGCCAGCGTCTTCCTCAGTCCAGACACCTCGTGGCTCTGGGCTGCAGAGATAGTCTCTCTGAGAATGGACAGCTCCCGAGGGTAGTGGATACGCAGTCTGAACACATAGCCACTCTGCCGGGCGAGCAACAAACAATATAGAATTCAGTGAATTTAGTTCTATTGAGGAATTGCATGGCAGCAGGTTTTGCACATTGACTGTATCCGTCCGGCGCATTGAACAGTGAATAGAATAAGGTACTGAACTTTATGTGGATGCTTGTTTTGTTAATCCTGCACGGTTATTAAATTTGAGTTTAACAATGGACGTGAGGCAAGATAGGGATAGAGACAGCGAGATAGGAAGTGAAGTAAGGTGAATAATGACAGTGAGATAGCAGATAGGGACAGCGAGATAAGTTCCTTCTGACCTGAGTACTAGTATTGGGAGCTACAGACCTTGAGAACATCCAGATGGTGTTTGGTGGGGGAGCACAGGAGCTGGCACTGGTCAGAGAGAGTCCGGGAGAGGTAGGTATAGAAGGCCGTCTTCACGGAGGAAATGGCGGTGAGTTCAGATGGCCACTTCCCACTCCCTTCCAACTGTAGCACAACTGCAGTCACAGAGTTCAGCTATTACAAAGAAACAACTTGCATCCTGCAAACATCCTGCTCCTCGAAAACAACTCGTGAAAGATTTCTACCCACAAATTCCCCACTTACAATAATCTGACATTATGTTACCATATTACCTTCTAGTGCTGGTACGAATGGAGGCGTGGCAGAGTCACATGACGGGTAGAGGCAATCTGATTGGTTCTCTGGACTGGGCTCAGCCAGCGTCTTCCGAGGCGTCCTCCCGTTCCACGCTAGAGGAGGGAACACAGAACAGTGCCGGAACTCGGGGCTGGCTCCCTGGATCGAGGTGATTGCCAGGGGCAACCCCTTCAGTCCGCGCAGCTGCTTCGAGAGTTCTCCAAACTCGTCTTCAATCTTCTTTCCCTCTTCCTCCCCCGTTGCCAGTGGCACCAGACTACAAGGGAGACGAAACATAAACAGAAATTCATCGCATAATTTAAATGTGAGTTATTTTAATTTAACGCAATGCTGCTTAGAGCACTCTACATTATGCTACCCAGTACATAGACACACACAACATTGCAACAGATAAGTTATTGCGAGTAGAGCAAGCCGGCCTGATTTTTCTATATAAGATGGCACTTCCATATCTAAACCGCCAATTCGCCATTCACTTGCCAATACTGCTAGTTAATAGGCCATAGAGACCTGTGTTGGTTGGTGGAGGTGTCTCTATCACAGTTGTTGGAGTAGAGAGGGAGAGAGAGGAGGGGGCTCAGGGCACCAGCTGATGATGTCACACTCTCCACTGGCACTCCAACATGTCTGCAGCCATCAACAACAAAAATCATCTCATAATCACTGCCACAATATCCACTCCTCTTCTACATAGTGTGTCTATTTAATGCATGGAGGAGTTTTGAGGGTTAAACAAAGAGTTGAGGACACAAACAGCAGCACGTCAAAGATAACCTATGGAGAAAAATAGGCACAGCTTGCATGGACTGCGTACACATGACAGCAGGGAACCTTCAACAAGAATATGTACACAAATAAAACGTAAATACGAGAATTTATTCTTGTGTTTTTTTAAATTGGGATAGCAGCACACACAAATTTAATGTACAAGAATGAATGGTAATGAGAATTTAACTTCATTGGACCTCAGCACACACATAAATGTACATGCTATGTACATGCTCCCAAATCAATACCCAACAACAATTTCAGCACACATCCACACATATAAGCATATCAACAGTGTCCTCCCCACCAGGCTGACCTGTGGAGGAGGTGAGTGATAATCTGGGCCACGACTCCTCGTCTTTCTCCCACACTCCCTCCCGTCCACACCACCGCCTCGTTGATGGAGCCGTCCTGAAACCTCCGCAGCTCGGACCTCTCCCCCCAGAACACACGGAACTCCCCCGCCTGCGTCGTAACACAGTGTTACCCACCATCAATCATCATCTCCCCACCGTTTAGTGTTAAGTATTGAAAAGAGCATATGGCAAAAGTCCCTTGCTACAACTAAATATGTGAAAGCAAGGACAGGGAAGCTTGAACTCGCATATACTCCTTTGTTCCTATTCAAACCGCATGAGACAGGTAATACACAGGCGACTTCGTAATATAATCATACCACGTAAACCTCTACGATGTATTTCACATTTGATTACTAAGCTACTTGTCTATTTGGTTGGTCAATTACCGGAGGATTACAGACAGTTCAAAGGATAAAAAATATAAATCAAAGTTAAAAGTACTGTACTGACTGACTTGTTTGCTGTCAGCTGCAGGACCCATGTCCAGTACAGAGAAGGCGTGGTCTGAATCCAAAACCACACCCACTGTCACATGACTGTCACATGGTAACACTGGCTCTTTAGACACCAACCACTGCATGTATGTACAGTTTGGGCGGGTACTAAATTTGTATAATTATATTCGCTGAGCACACATTATTGCACAAGACTATGCAACTTTTCTGCCGAGAAAAGTTCACCATTTCACCAATTACAGCCAGGGTTCACCTGTGTAGATTGGAAGGGTCTAAAGGTCAAAAGTTTAACCCTCTTCCCCAGACCCTTGTTCAGAACGGGGAGCAGTTTTTCCATAATTAGTGGGAGGGGCCAGCAGCCTCCGTCTAATAGCAGGGGCGTCCCTTCGTTAGCATCTCTGGTCAAGTAGGAGTGAAGTACACTGACTGGAGATATGCTGGAGACCAGAGATAAGAGTTGAGATCGAAATTTGTAAATTTCTCCGCTGGTTAACACAAGTATTTTAGCATCAAAGTAGGCATGTAATGTGGCTTTTTCTTTAATCTGTAACCAAAATATGCTACACTTCTAAAATTGGTGTTTTTCCACAACATCTCTTTTGGATTGCGTGACAGCATAACAAACTACGTACTGAAGCAGGAGGTCAAACTTGAGTTCAAAGGACACAGGGGTCATGAAAAGGGCGGTGAAACCGTCGGTGGCCGTGTCGTCAAGGAAGGTGAGGCCGACAGCTGCCTCGTGTCTCAGCCAGAGGTAGCGGGAGAGAGAGAGGTGGGAGAGGAGGTTCAGGAGACCAGAGGAATCCAGGAAGACGACCGAGTGGTGCGAGTGGAAGGAGGAGAGAGATGGCTAGAGACAGAGAGGGGGGAAGAGGTTTGTCAAGTGGAAGGAGGAGAGATTTGGCTAAGGAGAAAGAGGAGAAAAAGGTTGAGAAAGCTACGCATATACAGTGGAAACTCCGACAAGGGACTCTCCTAAAAATTTTCGTAGAATGCAAAGTTTATACGATGCACGAATTTAAAAGCATACATGAAACAACGAAAGGATAACTTTATACCAGTGAGGGGTCTGGTGCAGCCATGGAAACACCAGAGGTTGACCAATCAGACGAAGCTGTAGTCACAAAAACATACACAGACACAAACAATTCGAACACGGTATAGAGAGAAGCTGTGCTATACCGATGGCCTGAAGTGCAACTTTGAGAATCTGGTAGCTGCTCATGAGAGGTGATATCTTTCTCTGAGTCAGCAGCAGGGCCAACAGTAGGGAGAAATGGAAGCCTGCAAACCCTCCATAGCCCTGTCGAGATGTCAACCGAGACGGAGAGAAATGATGACATTGTTTCAGTAGAGAAAGAGACTTTTAGAGGAAGAAGAGTAAAATGCTTGCAATAGTTATTATTGTCCAAGCAGATTCACAAACAACATAATATCTAAACTTTCGCAGATGGCGAAGTAACTTAGAAAATCCACAGCACAACCTGTCTTTCGCAAGTGTTGTGTGTGTAGTTGTGTTACATGCCTTCGATTGCCTTGACCCGTTGATGACACACGCACAGTATAATCATTCTCACTTTCCCAAACACACACCCCCTCTCTTCCTCCTCTCCTCCTCCCTCTCCTCCTCCTCTCTTCCTCCTCTCCTCTCCTCCCCCACCTGGCTGAGTCCCCTCTGTCTGGCCCAGACTCTGAGCAGGACCACGGTGTCGGCCATGGCAGGACACTCCTGCTGAGCAGCGTACACGTCGCTCAGATGTCTCTCCATTCCTCCCATATCACTCAGAACCAGGCTGGATAAGGTGGTGCATATATTGGAATCACTTAGCACATGTAGAGAAAACCATGTGATGCCAAGAGAAAAAGATGCATGTAAGAATTGTTGCACCAGATGCCAAGTATCTGCGTTTTTCACACCCAGTTTAACTGCACTTGAGGAGGTTTACTGCACATACATTTTTCATTAGTAGAACAAAACAGCTACATTGTAGGGTCAAATTCAATTCAGAAAGACTCTACATATGTCGCAATAAAGAAATTCAAGTTTGGCGGCCTAGATAATTGGTGTGAGCAAAGAAAAAACTTACATATATTATAGTAATTTAGCACGTGCAATAGAGAGAGGTTTTTCAATACAGTGATACCTGTTATAGTGAGGAGTGGGAGGGAGATCAGTACATTCAGATTCATCACATGACCTCAATTCACAGTCAGGTGATCCAGCCACTAGCGAGACGAGGTCTGGTGGCAGTTGACACAGTGAACGCTGCGGCCGCAGGTTGTTCCTGTCGGGAACCAGTTTGACCGGTTTCCACGGAGCCTCGGGGACGGTGGTGTGGAGTCTGATGGTGTAGCGAGACTCCGCCCTCCCTGTGAATACAGTACAGTGGAGTCTCGTTATAATGAATTGCTGGGGACCTAAAGAACTTGTTCACAGTAAGGGGAATTTGTCATAAGTGTGGTGAAAATGTACAGTGTTCTATAGTGCTAGGCTCTGTTTGTAGTATCCAGAATTTCGTACTAAGAGTGTTCTTTATGACTCCACTGTACACACAGTATAATATACGCATTAGTTAACGTATAGGTGGCGAGGCGGTACAGGAGATACTTTTCATACTGTGTCCACGGTATGCAACTGGGTTCTCAATTCATCCAGCTAACCATCGGGAGTGAGATGGAGGATGGGCAGGAGAGGTCCTCCGTGGGAGACACCAAACCTGATCTTCTGCAGACCGCACGCCGCCTTCTTCCTCCGGAGAGACGCGGCCACGTGAGACAGGTAGAGCGCTCTCTTGTGGAGGTAGCGGTAGTTGAGGTGGTCTTTGGCTTGAAGACATTCCTGAAATACATCACCTCCATATTATGTAGTAAACAAGCTAACACCGATCTGAATGCCTTAAGTAGTAATGGAGTCTTGCATCAACATTTTCAAAGAACCGAACATTTTGTCATAAGCTCTTGCTTCAATAGAGATTATGCTCCGCTAACGTCGGCAAGTTCTGTGTGCCTGCCACATCTCACCTGCCACTGTACACCATGCATTAACCGAAAAAATGTGTGAATAGATTTCCGTTCAACAATCACATCTGGTTGGTATCTTTTTTTAGCATTGCTAAAGGAAAATTTATTTATGCTAATGGCCTGGATTTTCTCCCTCTCAATGCTCGGAAATGGGCAATTGGTTCTCTAACCGGAGGTATCTGGAGAGCAAGGTCAATGTTGAGGTCCGGTTTGATGGCTGTCTTCAGGAGATAACTTCCGACCACCTTCACTGCCAGCGGTGGATGGAAAACGAACTTTCCCTTCACGGACGAGGGGTCCAGATTGATGGGGTAGTGGACCTTTGGCGGCAGGCTCTGAACAGCATCACACAGCTGTATATACCAACATAGAGAGAGGAATGCAAAAGAGGCCAATGACTTATGACATTTTGGGGCATAAAGTTTTCGTACTTTTAGCAAGAATAATGGAGGAAGGACTGGCAAACTATCCATCCTGAATACCTACAATATAGTTGAGGAATGCAGTGCAAAAGCCCCTAGGAAGTTACTGCAAAATTGGGCTTGTAATTTATGCAAGGAAAAAGGAAGGCGACAGGCCAAAATATCTGAATGATGGTGGAAAATTAACTCTAAATTTTTCGTACTTTTAGCTAAAACATGAAGTGCAGTATATGCAAGCCAACTGACCATTCTGAATACCTCGAGTGGAGCAGGAGAACGCAGTGCAAATAGAGTCATAGAATATACGGACGCGGGGGAAGGAGAGGCAAAAATCACTTTGAGAGGGGAAAGCATTGTTTTTCTTCGGAGAGGGAAAGCATTGTTTTTCTTCGGAGAGGGAGAGCATTGTTTTTCTTCGGAGAGGGAGAGCATTGTTTTTCTTCGGAGAGGGAAAGCATTGTTTTTCTTCGGAGAGGGAAAGCATTGTTTTTCTTCGGAGAGGGGAAAGCATTGTTTTTCTTCGGAGAGGGAAAGCATTGTTTTTCTTCGGAGAGGGAAAGCATTGTTTTCTCGGAGGGGAAAGCATTGTTTTTCGGAGAGGGAAAGCATTGTTTTTCTTCGGAGAGGGGAAAGCATTGTTTTTCTTCGGAGAGGGAAAGCATTGTTTTTCTTCGGAGAGGGGAAGCATTGTTTTTCTTCGGAGAGGGAAAGCATTGTTTTTCTTCGGAGAGGGAAAGCATTGTTTTTCTTCGGAGAGGGAAAGCATTGTTTTTCTTCGGAGAGGGAAAGCATTGTTTTTCTTCGGAGAGGGAAAGCATTGTTTTTCTTCGGAGAGGGGAAAGCATTGTTTTTCTTCGGAGAGGGGAAAGCATTGTTTTTCTTCGGAGAGGGAAAGGCATGTTTTTCTTCGGAGAGGGAAAGCATTGTTTTTCTTCGGAGAGGAAAGCATTGTTTTCTTCGGAGAGGGAGAGCATGTGTTTTCTTCGGAGAGGGGAGAGCATTGTTTTTCTTCGGAGAGGGAAAGCATTGTTTTTCTTCGGAGAGGGAAAGCATTGTTTTTCTGCGGGAGAGGGAAAGCATTGTTTTTCTCGGATGAGGGAAAGCATTGTTTTCTTCGGAGAGGGAAAGCACTAGTTTTTCTTGGAGAGGGAAAGCATTGTTTTTCTTCGGAGAGGGGAAAGCATTGTTTTTCTCGAGAGAGGGAAAGCATTGTTTTCTTCGGAGAGGGGAAGAAAGCATTGTTTTTCTTCGGAGAGGGGAAAGCATTGTTTTTCTTCGGAGAGGGGAAAGCATTGTTTTTCTTCGGAGAGGGAAAGCACTAGTTTTTCTTCGGAGAGGGGAAAGCATTGTTTTTCTTCGGAGAGGGAAAGCATTGTTTTTCTTCGGAGAGGGGAAAGCATTGTTTTTCTTCGGAGAGGGAAAGCATTGTTTTTCTTCGGAGAGGGAAAGCATTGTTTTTCTTCGGAGAGGGAAAGCATTGTTTTTCTTCGGAGAGGGAAAGCATTGTTTTTCTTCGGAGAGGGGAAAGCATTGTTTTTTTTCGGAGAGGGAAAGCACTAGTTTTTCTTCGGAGAGGGAAAGCACTAGTTTTTCTTCGGAGAGGGAAAAGCATTGTTTTTTTTCGGAGAGGGAAAGCACTAGTTTTTCTTCGGAGAGGGAAAGCATTGTTTTTCTTCGGAGAGGGAAAGCATGGTTTTTCTTCGGAGAGGGGAAGCATTGTTTTTCTTCGGAGAGGGAAAGCATTGTTTTTCTTCGGAGAGGGGAAGCATTGTTTTTCTTCGGAGAGGGAAAGCACTAGTTTTTCTTCGGAGAGGGGAAAGCATTGTTTTTCTTAGGAGAGGGAAAGCACTAGTTTTTCTTCGGAGAGGGAAAGCATTGTTTTTCTTCGGAGAGGGGAACACGTTGAAAAACTCAACAAAAAAACTTTGGAACTTGTATATACATGGTCTCTCCCTCCCTCAAAAATATACCACTGTATAATTGACCAGCGGTAAAAAAAAACCTTAATGGAAAATGTCTCGTAACAGCATTCAGTGTGTGTGCTCACGTCAACAGTAGAAGTGGAGGGAAGTGACATCAGCGTTGTACGCAGACTGGACAGAATGTCCTCCAATCTGCCACGAGATAAGCTTGGCTTTACTTCACTCAACAGCTCTGCCATCTACAGAGAGACCAAGGGAGGAAAAAAGGTTGTAACTCTCCGCGGAAGGAGAAAATAAAAAGAAAAATTGCATGTCTATTAGTCACCCTAAATTGTAGCACACCGCTTCGTGCACTTGCATCGCAGTAAGGTGTTTGACACACACAAGAACGTGATAAGAGAGAGGTGATGGACCTGTAGTCTCATGAGGTTAGACTGATAGAGGTTCTGAGTCTCCTTCAGAGTTCGAAGTTCGTCGTGCGTGGGCGGTTGGTAGAGACCTGCAATGTGAGTCTTCTTCCAACCTCCTCCCCCTCCTCCTCCCACACTCACATCTCCACCACCCTCACCAGCTTCACCTTCTACTGGCATACATGTGAAAAGAGCAACCTCTCAAACTATACGTAGGACAAAGGTCAACGCAGGAGGCACACTCTGAGCTAAATCCTAAATCGCCATCCAGGTTCTACTGACTGCACTACCTTCCTTCTCTTCCTCCGTACTCCGTCCGTTTTCAACCTCGTCCTCAATTTCCACGCCATCTTCGGCGAGTTCAGCCGCCGTTTCCCCACGTCCCACCTCTTCTTCTAACCCCTAGACAAAGCGTAGGAAATAACTTACTCGCGAAGCTTTCCAGCCAATGAGTTTATTCTCATGCGTCTGAATAAGACCAGTTACCTCCGAGCCTCGTGAGAGAAGAGATCTAGTCTTCTTTCTCTTCGGCATCTCCAGTTCCCTCTCTTAGGCACTACGCGCTCAAACGAAACAGACACGTGGTGGGAGCCGATAGGGTTACTTTCTTGCGCAGGCGCGGTAATTTAAAACGCGGAAGCTCAGTAGACACACACTACTTCAGCCAGACCACAAGAGATGGTATGCAGACAGATTTAGAGGTAACTAGCGTCAGTCTCTCCATGATATCTGTCCTCGCTTACTCGTCAGTGTAAGAGTTTGTGCTATAGGCAGCCAGTGAACGCAATGGCCCTTATCAACCTGACAATCAAAAGTAGCTATGCTCATCGCCCTTGTCTACTAGTACATCAGTATTGTCTTTACTTTCTCATAGTTGGCTGGTCCGATGGCTGCATAGCTGAGAACAAGTCCTGCCCTCCTTCGCACTGGACGATGAATGTGCTGCAGTTTTGGCTGACCTCCTCAGGACAGACTTCATGTACCCCCACTACCAAGTCAATATCAATGAACCTGTTATACGACCAAAAGGTATAATATTATTATACCCTAAACAAACAGTTGATACATAATACTGCAGTATGCTTGGGAGGTGGTAGATATTGTAACTTCATGTACCCCCACCACCAAGTCAATATCAATGAACCTGTTATACAACCAAAAGGTATAATATTATTATACCCTAAACAAACAGTTGATACATAATACTGCAGTATGCTTGGGAGGTGGTAGATATTGTATGTATTAAGCTATGCTGAACCAACTGTCCGTGACGTAATGCTGCAGTATGTAATAACGGTGTACATGTTCGGCAGGTGGTATATATACTTTGTATGTGGTAGACTTTGTGCTAGAAACACAATTAGAATTGCCTAACAAGTCATTGTCATTGTGTGTGCAGCTAAGTATAGCAGTAGCATTACTGACCCTTGTGCCTGTGAGGCACACGGGGACTTGTAGTAAGTCATATCTGCTGCCTTCACGCGGAAGAGAACCGCCGTCTCATACATAGCAGGACATCTCTCACCCACGCTTTGAACAGCCAGCCCTGGATCTAAATGAACAAATTTGCACCCTATCATTGCTTCACCGTACATTATTGACGCTGTATTAAGGGGTTACAGTGAAACCTCTGAATAAATGACACTTTGGGGGCATCGAAACATTTGGAGGTGTCCCTTATTCAGAGGTAATAATAGATTAGTATGGGGCAGAACCAAGTGTCCCTTATTCGGAGTTAAGTATGGGGCAGAACCAAGTGTCCCGTTATTCGGAGTGGTAATAATAGATTAGTATGTGTGGCAGAACAGAACCAAGTGTCCCTTAGTCGGAGGTAAGTAAATGGGGCGACGAACACACGTGTCCCTTATTCGGAGGTAAGTATGGGGCAGAACCAAGTGTCCCTTATTCGGAGGTAAGTATGGGGCAAGAGAACAGTGTCCTTATTCGGAGAGTAAAGTATCTGGGAAGCAGAACCAAGAGGTCCTTTATTCTCTTAGAAATTGTGCCATAACAGAATGTAAGAGAATAATAATTACCTCCATGCTTGCGTGAATTATTTTGTGCTCATTCTCCAGTTTCGTGACTGTTTCTTGCAACTTTTTCACCTGTGACAAAATAGAGTAATTAATGTCTAGAGAAGCTGCTATAATCTCACAACCAATAATAAACCACGTGTTTTGGTTAACTACTACATAGAGAGAGGGTGTGTGATTTTCTATACACACATTGTCTACTCTTTTGGGAATTTTGCATTTGACAGCATACCATGCTGTTCATCTCTTCCCATGGTCTGTGTGAGCTGTCAGTGATGGTGGGGAGGGGAGAGGGGGGAGTAGGGGAGAGGGGGACACGCTGCTGTTCCTCTGGATGATGATCCAGACTTGACTCGATGCTGGCACAATGCTTTCTCCCAAACAATTTTTTCCTTCCTTTGTCCTTTTTGGGCTTTCCGGTCGACTTGCTCGCTGCTTCAGAACTTGTGGTTGTATCAGGACTGGCTTTGTGTCTGAGCTCACGGCCGGGTGAGGAGGAACGAGAGTGGAGGGGGAGGGAGAGGGGGACGGTGAGGGAGAGGCTGAGGAGGTGTGGCTTGAAGAAGGGGGAGGAGTTGGACGAAGAAATGAGCTCGATGCATGTGAGGCGGATGGAATAATTTGTGGGACAGGGGAAGGTCCAGGGGTTGGGACTTCCATCGTTACGGTGGGGGGCTCCTTACCTAATGAGAAAACATGAAAATTAATATTGGAAATCTAAAATCTACCTTTCCCTAAAGTAAGGAAAATGGCAAATATGATAATCTTTAGGGAAATTCCTTGTACTTGGCACTATTGTATATGAAATATGAAATTCTTCTAAACCAAGAGATATTCCGTATACTTGACAATGTAGATGACGGATGGTGAAAATTCTTCCCTAAACTAAGGCTAGGTTCACATTGCCCCGTCGGGCCTTGCCGATATGCCCGTGTCGCGAGGATAGAATCCATTTCTAACTTTGCGGCACCACGCGACGCGCACGGCACGGCAGGGCAATGAGACATAATTTTGAGCCCAGCCTAAGGGAAACTCCTTGACTGCAGATCATTGTGTGCTAACATGACAGGTGGCCCCGAGAATATATATATATATATATATACGCTACACTCACATTCAGTTGAAAGTGAAACATGCCAACTATATAGCACACTTTACACTTACCTGGAAGTACATACTATCTGGAAGTCTTATACATACTCCAAAAAATTCCCTTCACAACCCAATTTTGACCTAAAGTAGAATGCATCTCTACATCTTACTAAAGTCACCATGTGATGAGTTGAGTACTACGCATCATGAAACTAAAACAAACTGAGTGTCATACAACAAATTGGGTTTGTATGCGGGTAACTTTTTGTTACACTACATGCTAATTGAAAGTATAGAAAACCACATGACTAGGCAACAATGATTGCATTAGAGCTCAGCCATGGATATTATGATGTAGCGACTCAATAGTTAACAGTAGAGCACATGGTACCTGTTCTGCAAATCCCTACGTAGTACCTTATTCACACTATTCCTAAAAGAAATGCGAGATTTCTGGACATATACAACACTAGATGTACAGACCAGACAGAAGACACGTGAAATCAATCTTCTACATATCATCTTACCACTCCTGGCTCCCTTGTCTAAATTGGAGACATGGTTTAACCCCAATTTCAATCGCGGGGCAACACCCGACTCTTCCCGATCCATCTCCATCTCATACACACCTTGATTCCCTCCCCCGACCTGCCCCCCTCCACCTCCCCTCTCCCCCTCTTTCTCCTCCTCGTCTTCCATATCGCTCTCGACACTGTGCAGCATCTGGTTCCCCACTTCACTGGTCAGTGCACTAAAGGTACTCTGCATATCATAATCACTGCAGGGAGAGAGAGGGAGAGAGGAAAGGTAAATCACTGGAGGTAGAGAGAGAGAGAGAGGGGAGGAAAAGTAGGTAGAGGGAGAGGGAAGGCCGAGGGGGAGGGGAGGTAGCTAGGTGGGTTATTCACCTGTTCAGCAGTGTTTTTAGCCTTGTCTGTTATATACTTTCAGTCTATATAATATTACAAAACAAGGGCCGACATTCTTTGGAAATGTGAATAGTCAAACTGACCACTGTTACCAAAACAATTTTTGGTGTAATAATCGTTTGAAGGTGCGGGAAAATTTGTTGTGCTTACATTCCTTTGCCACCTCTGAAGTAGCATGAGACTACGAGAGGTCATCCCTCCTGATGAATTAGGGCCACACAACGATCGTGACTTTACACGATTCGTTGTGGAAAGTCATCTCCAAGGCATCACTGCAATCAATAGCACATTATTATCAACATCCTCTAGTGAACGGTCACTGTTATTGAAGGTGACAATAATATGTCTTGCAGAAGCTAGGGGCCCCAAAGAGACACCAATGAAGGTTTTTCCCAGACATAGAGAAAAGGATGTTTCTTTTATAATTGTATAATAACTATGCCAAGCAAAAAGGAAATACATCAGCAAGAGTGTAATGCTGACCTTGCGTTCATATCCAGAGGGCTTGTGTAGTCTTGAGTCGATTGTGACGAAGCTAGACTTTATCCTCACTCTTTGCGGTGAGCAGAATTGGGGCATTGTTGGCATGTTACTATGGTTACACTCACGTCTTGTATGTAATATTTGTACTCCTTTTCTTCAAATCTGTCTCTGCCCTTCCCCTGTGAATTTTAGAGACACATGATCATATGACATCAGGTTATTAAGTTTGCCATTTAACTTTTGGACAAAGATTATGCGTGAATCAATGACCCATAAAATTGGAATATCAGTATAGAATTTTCACTGCATTCCACGCATCGACCGACCAAGGAGGCACACAGCAAGAGAATGGGACAGCTGTACTGTGTGTATACCTTGTAGAGGGTGACAACAAGGCCCACGGAGAAAGACGGTTTAAATTTGGCCTTCCCCGAAGCTCCATTGGGTCCTCTGTCTTCACTAGTGACCCATTTTACCTGTACAAAAAAGCACATACAGCACACATACTGGTCGGTTTTACGATAAATTTATTCCCTTAACAGATTTCTGACTTGGTGGTGAAGAAGATAGATTGATGTGAATCTCAAGACGTACCTGTTTCTGACGATTAACCACTGCGTATGCATGCACCCTAAGTTGTGCGACCCCCTTACTTACGGGGATGGATTCCACTTTGCGATGGTTTCTGAACCACACGGCTTTCAGCAGCGTCGGTCTCCTGCAGTATAAGAAACAATTTTCAATCGAGGCTGCCGATATATATACCACGAAAATCAATGAAAATTTTAGCCAGGGATGTTATGTTAGCTAGCTTACCACGTCCCCTTGCATTCCAACGCGATGTACTCGAATTCGGAGGTAAACTGAAACTGGTACGCCTCCTTACCGAGACGTCTCACTCCCGCGATGGCTTTCTGAGCGCTCATCTTGAACCTAGTCTTGAACACTTCTATGCTTCTCGCAGCGTCCTGGTGCTTATGTAGCTACAGTGCGCATGCGTGAAATAAATGTGAGAGGACTTCCGCTTGCGCTTGCTCTTGCTCAGAGCAGTTGCCCATCAGTCATTACAGTGTACAAAAAATAATAGTAACAACAAGTCACTACTGCAACTTTACGTGAAGCTAAAGGATGATGCATGCTCGGAATCTACGTCTTGTGGCTTCAGTTTCATTTCCCTGTTGAGTGTTTGGTTGCTGCTGCTGCTGTATTCCCTGCTCTTCATCGTCATAAATCCCTGCAATAACATTAACAATGGCATAATACCAAATCCACCTTTCACCAAAATTCACCTTTCATCTCACGTCCAACTGCTTCCAGTGCTGGCTCTGCCATGAGAGCTGTCAACAGTGTGTGAAATACATTAGGATCGCAGAAATTGCGTCGCTCCAGTGCCATTAGAATGACTTGAAGTCTTTGGTTGGCTGTTTCTGTTTTCTGTGTGGCCCTTTCACGCTCACGGGAGTAAGAGGCACATGTTGCTGTAAGAAAGCCACGCCCACAAAAGGGGACTTTGGTTTTTCAAGGGGGGTTCCCACACTTTCTTTTGGAAAAAAGTTTTTTGTAAGCTTTCCTTTCCTTGAAGAGCTCTTTGATGCGGGTGGGGGGGACAGGACCGTTGGGAGGATGTTTCCTGGGGGGAACTTTTAAAGGACGGGGAACGGAAAAAAAAACAAAGGGAAGCTTGGAGTAGGGGGTTTTATCCCCCCCCCACTTTTTTTTGGGCAAAAAATTTGACTTGGGCTTTGGCCCCCTTTTTCTTATGGGATCCTTTTCCCCCCTTCCCCCTTTTCCCCTTTGGTGGGTTTTTTGTTTGGTTTTTTTTTGTTTTG